TTCAAGGTGAGGGGAAATCTCTTCAAGGTGAGGGGAAATCTCTTCGCGGTGAGGGGAAATCTCTTCACACGGTGAGGGGAAATCTCTTCAAGGTGAGGGTGAAAAATCTCTTCAAGGTGAGGGGAAATCTCTTCAAGGTGAGGGGAAATCTCTTCGCGGTGAGGGGAAATCTCTTCAAGGTGAGGGGGAAATCTCTTCAAGGTGAGGGGAAATCTCTTCACGGGTGAGGGAAATCTCTTCAAGGTGAGGGGAAATCTCTTTCATGGTGAGGGGAAAATCTCTTCACGGTGAGGGGAAATCTCTTCAAGGTGAGGGGAAATCTCTTCAAGGTGAGGGGAAATCTCTTCACAGTGAGGGAAAATCTCTTCAAGGTGAGGGGAAATCTCTTCAAGGTGAGGGGAAATCTCTTCAAGGTGAGGGGAAATCTCTTCAGGTGAGGGGAAATCTCTTCAAGGTGAGGGGAAATCTCTTCGCGGTGGTGAGGGAAAGCTCTTCACAGGTGAGGGGAAATCTCTTCACGGTGAGGGAAAATCTCTTCAAGGTGAGGGGAAATCTCTTCAAGGTGAGGGGAAATCTCTTCGCGGTGAGGGGAAATCTCTTCAAGGTGAGGGGAAATCTCTGTTCAAGGTGAGGGGAAATCTTCAAGGTGAGGGGAAATCTCTTCAAGGTGAGGGGAAATCTCTTCATGGTGAGGGGAAATCTCTTCACGGTGTGAGGGGAAATCTCTTCTTCAGGTGAGGGGAAATCTCTTCAAGGTGAGGGGAAATCTCTTCACAGTGAGAGGAAATATCTTCAAGGTGAGGGGAAATCTCTTCAAGGTGATGGGAAATCTCTTCACGGTGAGGGGAAATCTCTTTTCAAGGTGAGGGGAAAATCTCTTCAAGGTGAGGGGAAATCTCTTCAAGGTGAGAGGAAATCTGTTCACGGTGAGGGGAAATCTCTTCAAGGTGAGGGGAAATCTCTTCACGGTGAGGGGAAATCTCTTTACGGTGAGGGGAAATCTCTTTACGGTGAGGGGAAATCTCTTCAAGGTGAGGGGAAATCTCTTCACGGTGAGGGGAAATCTCTTCAAGGTGAGGGGGAAATCTCTTCTCTTCAACGTGAGGGGAAATCTCTTCAAGGTGAAGGGAAATCTCTTCAAGGTGAGGGGAAAATCTCTTCGCGGTGAGGGGGAAAGCTCTTCACAGTGAGGGGAATCTCTTTTCAAGGTGAGTGAAAATCTCTTCAAGGTGAGGGGAATCTCTTCAAGGTGAGGGGGAAATCTCTTCGTGGGTGAGGGGAAATCTTCTTCAAGGTGAGGGGAAATCTGTTCAAGGTGAGGGGAAATCTGTTCAAGGTGAGGGTGAAATCTGTTCAAGGTGAGGGGAAATCTCTTCATGGTGAGGGGAAATCTCTTCACGGTGAGGGGAAATCTCTTCAAGGTGAGGGGAAATCTCTTCAAGGTGAGGGGAAATCTCTTCACAGTGAGAGGAAATAATCTTCAAGGTGAGGTGATATCTCTTCACGGTGACTGGGAAATCTCTTCACGGTGAGGGGAAATCTTTTCAAGGTGAGGGGAAATCTCTTCAAGGTGAGAGGGGAAATTCTCTTCAAGGTGAGGGGAAATCTCTTCAAGGTGTGGGAAATCTCTTCAATGTGAGGGGAAATCTCTTCAAAGTGAGGGGAAATCTCTTCAAGGTGAGGGGAAATCTCTCTTCACGGTGCTGAGGGGAAATCTCTTTACGGTGAGGGGAAATCTCTTCAAGGTGAGGGGATAAAAATCTCTTCAAGGTGAGGGGAAATCTCTTCAAAGTGAGGGGGAAATCTCTTCAAGGTGTGAGGGGAAATCTCTTCACGGTGAGAGGAAATCTCTTCAAGGTGAGGGAAATCTCTTCACGGTGAGGGGAAATCTCTTCAAAGTGAGAGGAAATCTCAAGGTGAGGGGAAATCTCTTCAAGGTGAGGGGAAATCTCTTCAAGGTGAGGGGAAAAAAGGTGAGGGGAAATCTCTTCAAAGTGAGAGGGAAATCTCTTCAAAGTGAGGGGGAAATCTCTTCAAGGTGAGGGGGAAATCTCTTCACGGTGAGGGGAAATCTCTTCAAAGTGAAGGGAAATCCCTTTCAGGACAATTATCACCAGAATGAGGGTCTGCACTGACAGATTGTCCTCTACTCCTGTCCTGGTGAAAAACCCAAAAAACATTTGTCACCAGTGGTCCATTTAAAGATTTCACTTCACTTTGTGTTCCTGTGAAAATTGTAAAATTTTGGGATTTGCCGTCAGTTTTCTGTTCTGGTACAAGTGGGTCCCCCAGGGCCCCTTCCAGTCCGGGACACTTTTTACCCCCCCTTCCTGTCCAGGACAATTTTCAGCTTTCAGCGCTATCACGCTTTGAATGACAATTGCGCGGTCATGCAACACTGTACCCATATGATTTGTTTACCTTTTTTTTGCTTTATTTTTGGTGGTGGTATTTATTCACCGTTGGGATTTTTTATTTTTTTTTGCCATGTAAATGAAAAAGTCCAAAATTTTGGAAAAAAAGTTTTTTTTTAAATAAAATTTTGCAAATAAATAATCTTTCATCATAAATGTTAGCCAAAATTTATTCCGTTGAGAACTAATGAGTGAGCTGTGATTGGTCACAGCTTGTCACATGGTACAAGGCTGTTGTGAATAGCCCTTTACCATGTGACCTCTGTGATCATTCACAGATTTCGCACGTAGTAAGCAATGATGTCACAAGTGACATCTTGCTTACTACTTTGCATGTGATCACTGATTGGCCAATCAGTGATCACATGATCAGGACCTTGTACAGAGGTCCTGTCCGATGATCGGTGTTTCACTGTGTCTGGAGCACCCGGTTTGCAGTGCTGCGTGCTCCCAGGGAGCGCCAACAGCTAGAAATGGCGGGTGCTGTTTATGAAAGGCAACCCGCCCCTGTAGTGCCATTTTTTGAATCAGATCATAGCTCTCTATTTTTGGTCCATTTAAAAAACAGAAGCAGACCTAAACATAGGTAAACGGACAAATGGTCCGTTGGTTGCTGGGAATCGGCACTCGCTGGCATCTTAACGACCAGCGACTTGTCTCTGCTGTCAGCAGAGGTTGCCGCTGTCAGCAAAATGTAAGTAAATGATTTGCTTACTTTAACACCAGTGAAGGAGTTGTCACTCGGCCCGCCGCTGAAGTAGAGAAAGGTCTGCAGGTGTCCCTGCCCCTTTCAAATGAACGGGCTCTCGTGCCTGCGCAAAAACGCGGCCCGCACGGACGCATAGGTGTGAACCGGGGGTCAGGAGAATTAAGGCCGTTCTGAAGGCAAAAGGGGGTCCGAGCTGGTACTAGCAAGGTGAACCTAATAAAGTGGCCCGGTGAGCGTACGTACTCTATGGGTCCCAGACCTTCACAAATTTGGCATGGGTGCCATTTAAAGTAAGGGAGATCTTCTCATGCACCGTGGTCCCATAAGGGGGCATGCTTTTTTAAAACATGCTGACTTCTTGATTTTCTATAAATTTTACATTCTCCCATTTGTATTTCTTTAGAAACCATTTATACCTAACTGCGGATATGACCTCCCTCACAGAGGTTTGATTGCTTGTTCCTCTCGCGTTCTGCATTGATTTCCTCAACAAGAACCCTTCAAGAGGAGCATGTACATGAACACAAGGACCAGTCCACCTGCTCTTGTGGAAATCCTGAGATCTTCTCTTTGATTCATGTACTGAAGGCAGGCTTCATTCTATCTGGTCATTGTGAGAAATTTCATACTGACACTCTGGGGGAGATTTACTAAAATCGGAGAGTGTAAAAATCCGGCACAGTTGTGTATGGTAGCTAATCAGTTGCTAATGCAGGCCATCCATGGGTCGAATTCCGATGGCGCCATCAATGATTTTGAAAATCGGCCAACCAAGTCATATACTTCCCCCATAAATGGTCAGCACTTCTGCCTGGCAGTACTCGGGGTCATTGGTTCGAATCCCAACCACGGCACCACCTGCCTGGAGTTTGCATGTTCTCCCTGTGCCTGCGTGGGTTTCCTCCGGGTACTCCGGTTTCCTCACACACTCCAAAGACATGCTTGTCTCTTTGAATACGGTAAACATTTTTATTTCCTGTCTTATTCTCGCTAAAGTAGAACTCCGCTGGAAATTATTACTTGTCCATTAACGCCTTGGCGCCCTTTAAGGGTTTCAGAAGGCGGGCGGGGGTTTTAGGGTCATGTCATGGGCAGCACAGTGGCTGAGTGGTTAGCACTTCCGCTGCCAGTACTAGGGCCGTTGGTTCGAATCCCAACCACGGCACCACCTGCCTGGAGTTTGCATGTTCTCCCTGTGCCTCTGCGTGGGTTTTCTCGGGTACTCTGGTTTCCTCCCACACTCCAAAGACAATGCTGGTAGGTGAATTGGCTCCTGTCTAAATTGGCCTTAATATGTGTATGTATGAATGTGAGTTAGGGACCTTAGATTGTATGCTCCTCGGGGGGCGGGGACTGATGTGAATGTACAATATATATGTAAAGTGCTGTGTAAATTGACGGCGCTATCAGGGGCGGACTGACAACTCATGGGGCCCCTGGGCAATAAGGGATCATGGGGCCCCTGTGTCCTTGCCCAAACTCAAAAAAGCCTATGAAAAAGATACCAGGGGCATATCATGGGGACCCCTACTGACCCCGGGCCCTCGGGCAGTGCCCGAGTTTCCAAATGGTCAGTCCGCCCCTGGGCGCTATTATAAGTACCTGAAATAAATAAATAAATAAATTAAACATAACAGGCGAAACTTCTGTTGCTTCCAGGTCACGGCTCACACGCATATTCTTTTCGTAAAAACGATCGTTACGATTTGACCCATCAGTGAGTCAAAAATCGGCAATTTTTCACGAATATTCCAACATGCCCGATCACCGAAAAGGGGAGGAAACCACGAAAATTGGCCGGTGCCATTGACCCCACTAACAGAGCGAAAATCGGGCCGATTATTCTTAGGTCCGTTTTTCGGACGAAAAATCAAATCGAATTTCGACCCATGTATGGCCGGCATTACTTCACCTTGTTCAATAAGACTAGGTTCACATCTGTGTGGGTGGTGCCGCTGCAGATCCGCACGAAAATCCATGCAGCCGCATCGCCCGCGCAGAGAAATGCGAACCCGCGGGTGGGTGTCATTAGTTCTAATGGCGCGCCGCCCGCACTGGAAAAACGCAACCGTACTGGGAACCTCGGCTGCGTTTTCAGAAGAAGCGCCGGGGACTTGTTCAAATGAATGGGCTCTCGTGCCCGTGCAAAACGCAGCCCGCACGACCGCATAGATGTGTCAACTATCACCTCTATGCTGATGACACTCAAATCTACCTCTCCACCCCCCACCTCACCCCCACAGTCTCCGCCCGCATCACTCACCTCCTAAACGACATCTCAGACTGGATGTCGCTCCATTTCTCAAGCTTTAACCTATCCAAAAACCGAGCTCCTGGTCTCCACACCCCCCCCCCCCCCCATCCTATCCATCACTACCAACAAAACACTACCCATCAATTCACCCTCCAGCAAGCCAAAGTCCTTGGCGTCACTTTGGACTCAAACCTTTCCCTCCAAACCCCATGTCTCAAATCAACTTACAAACACATGCAGGCTCCACCTCCGAAACATCTCCATGATACGTACGTTCCTTACCCCAGACACCACTAAACTACTAGTACACTCCCTTAATTATCTCACGCCTGGTCTACTGACAACTCCTTCTCATCGGCCTACCTCCATACAGACTATCCCTGCTTCAGTCTATCCCTGAAACTCAGCGGACCAGACTCATCCACCTCACCAACCGCTCCACCTCCGCCACCCCCTCTGTCATTCCCTCCCACTGGCTCCACCAATCAGGGGCGGGATATGACCATTTGGAAACTCGGGGCACTGCTCCGGGGGCCCGGGGTCAGTAGGGGGCCCATGAGATGCCCTGGTACTTTTTCATAGGCTTTTTTTGATGAGTTTTGGCAAGGACACAGGGGCACCATGATCCCCTATTGCCGGGGGCCATGAGTTTTCAATCCGCCCTGCTCCCGATTTGCCAACGCATCATAATTCAATACTACTGACTCTGACCTACAAAGCAATTCATAACACTGCCCCAAACTACCTATCCTCACCAACTGATTCCCAACTACCACCCTACCCGATACCCTTCGCTCCTCACAGGACCTCCTTCTATCTCGCTCCCTGGGTCTCCTCCTCCCACGCACGACTGCAAGACTTCTCCAGGTCCTCCCCCAATCCTCTGGAACTCACTGCCCAATCCATCAGATGTTGCCTTTCCTCCTCACCTTCAGGCACTCACCTGAAAAGCCATCTCTTCAGGGAAGCCTACCCCACCTCACCTAATGCTGTTCTCCTTCATTCCTCTACACTCCTCCATCCCCCACAGGCCACTTCCTCCTAGGATTGTAAGCTCGAAAGAGTAGGGCCCTCGACCCCCTCATGTGCTGTTTGTTATTGCTGTGCTGTTTCATGTATTGTCCCCCCCTCTCTATTGTACTCAGCGCTGAGCAACACCCTTTGGCGCTGTATAAATTCGATGTAATAATAATAATAAATAGATGTGAAACCGGGGGGGTCAGAAAATGCAACCCCTTGTCCCAGTTTTTCTATGTTGTGGAAGGACACAAGTGGCTGTATTTTTGGATTCTTCACCTTGCAGGGGTTCTCAGACAAAAAGCGACAAAAGCGAAGTTTTCCAGTGACCTCCGGATTCAGTAGCCCAGCAGTAGAAGCCAAGTATCATGCATGCCGGCCCGCTTCCCTCGGGGCTGCTGATATATTTGTATTGTGACTGGAGTGTACCTTTTGAGTGCAATAACCAGCGCCTCAGGCAATTGAAGGCGCTCGTTATACCGCGCAGGGAGACGTTTGCGACGTGTTCATGCACTTGCTGCGCTTTATGCAAACTCACAAATATATATAAAATGTAACGGTCATATATGAAGCGATGGATTAAACCGTGTCCCCGGGGAGTATTTTCATGCTTCATCTGCTCCGCCGACACTGCGTGCTTATTATGTGGAAACCAAATGTGTTGATGCTAAAGAAAGAAAGCGAATCCAGAGCGCGTCCTTCTGCAGTTCCCATTTTAAGGGGACAGGTTTAAAAAAAAATATATATTTTGCCCGCTAGACCCCATAATTACAGACCTAAATCCACCATTATGTGACGTTTCACGATTGCTTCTTCCAGGGGCGGGGGGGCAGGGGATGTCATTCTGCTCCTTGCTGTTTTCTGACTGACAACTCACGGGGCCCCCAGGCAATAGGGGATCATGGGGCCCCTGTGTCCTCACCCACACTCAAACCACACCCAAAAAAACCTATGAAAGGTACCAGGGGCATGTCATGGGCCCCCTACTGACCCCGGGCCCTCAGGCAGTGCCCGAGTTCCCAAATGGTCAGTCCGCCCGTTTTTGGCGCTCTCTCACCAACCCTTGTGACATCATGACATTGATGCTTTAACCTCCCCGGCGGTCTGATTATGTCAGTATTTCTGTGCTCAAAGCGGTACATTATTTTCTGTTTCAATATTTTTATTAAACCCCCTGGCGGTATTCCCGAGTGTAGCTCGGGGTAAAGTTTCAGTACCAAAAGTGGTAACCCCCCGAGCTACACTCGGGCTTACCATGCGGCATTGCTCAGGCATTCTTACCTTGTCCTTCGCTCCCGCAATGTCCCCCCTGCAGCGTCCCCGGCCGATGCCGGCATCCGGCTTCCGTGTTCCGGTCCCTGCGAGCGTCGGGACGTACGGGGGCCGGAACCGGCGGCAAATTTAAACATTTTAAAAAATGTCATTTTCTAATAAACTAAAATCACATAGTATAACATTCCTGTATCAAACCATTTCACATACATTTTGTCCCGAGTGCTTTGTCGGCGCCCTGCCTGCATTTTTACTGTTCTTTCTGCCTGGAAAACTGAGAAACGTCCATGGCGTCCGAAAAGCGCCCCTTTAGGTCAGACGCGGTTTTAGAGCGGCTAGAGAACAGCGATAGTAAATCAGAACCACTTGCAGAATTGAGTGATAATGATTGGTGGGGGAAATTCCTCATCAGACACTGAAAACGATTCTGCGACTGAGCTCAGCGATGTGAGAACTTGGCGCTCTATTTCACATTTCAGTGTTTTTGGTTTGATTATATTATTGAATTAAATTTATTATTATTATATTATTATTTTTTATGATTATTTATTAAATTATAATTTATGATTTTGTGTTTCAAATTTTATCATCCCCGGGATGTTTACTAGACTCTTGTTCGGGCAGATTTCAGTGAGTTATTCCTAAAAATTACAGGCCTACAATAAAACAAAACGACATATTTCCATGCAAAAAAATGTACCGCTTTGAGCACAGAAATACTGACATAATCAGACCGCTAGGGAGGATAAGTAAGTTTTGTTTTAAGAATACAACAAGCTCAAGATATGCCCAGGCAGGGGCAGAGAAGAACAATAACACATAGGGTCGTTGGTTCGAATCCCAGCCACGGCACCTCCTGCCTGGAGTTTGTATGTCCTCCTTGTGCCTGCGTGGGTTTCCTCTGGGTACTTTGATTTCCTCCCACACTCCAAAGACATGCTGGTAGGTTAATTGGCTCCTGTCTAAATTGGCCCTTGTATATGAATGTGAGTTAGGGACCTTAGATTGTACACCACATATGTGTCCGTTTATTAACCAGCGGTAATAGATCGCTGCTCAGCTCTCCGGCATTCTCGGAGAACACAGTTCTCCTGTGAATGCAGTTTATGAAGCAGTGTAGATCAGTTCTCCAAATGAAGGGAGAACGGTCTACAAATGCTGGAGAACGGTCTACAAATGCTGGAGAACGGCTGATTTTATTATAATCTCGTGAGATTACAGTAAAAGATCAGTTTACTAAGCAGAGGTAAATTATCGCAGCTTAGTTTGCGGTCCCTCCGATTCTCCAGCTCTGGGCTGGAGAATCTGGAGGGAGAACACAGATCTCCAGTGAAGAGCTGAACATGTTCTCCGCTGATCTCCTGAGTGCCAAACTGTGAATGACCAGAGAATAGCTGCGGTCCTCTGAATCGCAGCTATTCTCTGTGTCATAAACGGACACCAATGTGCAGGGGCGGACTGACAACTCATGGGGCCCCCGGGCAATAGTGGATCATGGGGCCCCTGTGTCCTTGCCCAAACTCAAAAAAGCCTATGAAAAAGGTACCAGGGGCATCTCATGGGGCCCCCTACTGATCCCGGGCCCTCGGGCAGTGCCCGAGTTTCCAAATGGTCAGTCCGCCCCTGCCAATGTGTAATTCTGTATAGGGAACTTTATTCCATTAAAGACAGGTGTAAGATAATAATAAAATAAATAAGGACACTGACCATATATTATTCAGGATGGGTACCAGCGGTGGCTAGATGTCCGGATGCTGTAGCCCCCTCCGACGCGTTTCGTGCTATGCACTTAATCATAGGGTGCAGGGCTGGCGCCATATAAATCCTGTATAATAATAATTATGTAGGGCAGCACAGTGGCTAAATGGTTAGCACTTCCACCTGGCAGTACTGGAGAGCCTGGAACTGAAGCCAGCGCTTACCATAGAGCTCACCAGGGACCAGAATGTCCCCCATCATCTCCATGATATTAAAAACCAGAAGTGATGAGTATTTTGTCACTCCTGCTTTTCCTCTTTTGTTTAAAAGCTTGTACAAGCATCGGATCAGATCGATCTTGGTCTGATCTGATGATGCTGAGGGCAGAGGAGACATCCGGGGTCTATTAGACCCCGGATGTCTCAGTAAAGAGGATCTGTCACTGCTATTGTTTAGCACAGGGGATGGGCAGCACAGTAGCTAAATGGTTAGCACTTCCGCCACTAGGGTCATTGGTTCGAATCCCAACCACAGCACCACCTGCCTGGAGTTTGCATGTTCTCCCTGTGCCTGCATGGGTTTCCTCTGGGTACATCTGTTTCCTCCAACACTCCAAAAGACATGCTGATAGGTTCATTGGCTCCTGTCTAAATTGGCCCTTGTATATGAATGTGAGTTAGGGACCTTAGATTGTAAGCCCCTTGAGGGTTAGGGACTGATGTGAATGCACAATATATATGTAAAGCACTGCGTAAATTGACGGCGCTATATAAGTACCTGAAATAAATAAATAAACAGATATATCCTGCTGACTTATATTAGCCAAATAACAAAATGCCCAATGACATCAGGGAGGGACAGCAAAAAGCCAAACCAAATAATAGCAGCAGTAATCCAACATAGTACCGGAAAAAGAAGAGAAAAGAAAAAAGGTTAGAAGAAAGGATAAAGAACATGAAACAAAAAAAAAGGAATCAGAAAGAAAACATGGAGGAAAGAGAAAATAGAAGAATCAAGGATCCAGGGCTAGCACAGGCAGCGACTATAAGAGGCCATAACTAGTAGGAGACAGGGATGGCAAGGAATAACATATCCAAGGTTCCGGTACATTATTTTCAATGGAAATATGTTGGGTTTTTTTTCATTGTAGGTCTGTAATTTTTAGGAATAACTCACTGAAATCTGTCTGAACAAGAGTCTAGTAAACATCCCGGGGAGGATAAAATTTGAAACACAAAGTCCTAAATTATAATATAATAAATAATCATAAAAAATAATAATGTAATAATTTATTTAATTCAATAATGTCATCAAATCAAAAACACTGAAATGTGAAATAGAGCGCCAAGTTGGCACATCGCTGAGCTCAGTCGCAGAATCGTTTTCAGTGTCTGATGAGGAATTTCCCCCACCAATCATTATCACTCAATTCTGCAAGTGGTTCTGATTTACTATCGCTGTTCTCTAGCCGGTCTAAAACCGCGTCTGACCTAAAGGGACGCTTTTTGGACGCCATGGACGTTTCTCAGTTTCCAGGCAGAAAGAACAGTAAAAATGCAGGCAGGGCGCCGGACAAAGCACTCGGGACAAAATGTATGTGAAATAGTTTGATACAGGAATGGAATACTATCAGATTTTAGTGTATTTAGTGAATGTAACACATTTTTTCCATTTTTGAAATTCCCGCCGTTCCGTCCTCCGTATTTCCCGACGCTCGCAGGGAACGGAACCCGGAAGACGGATGCCGGAATCGGCCGGAGTAGATGGCCGGGGACGCTGCAGGGGGGACATCGCGGGGAGCGCAGGACAAGGTAAGTGTTGGAGGGATCCCAGAGCAACGCTGCAAGGTATTCCCGAGTGTAGCTCTGGGTTACCACTTCTGGTACTGAAAGTTAACCCCGAGCCAGGGGCGGACTGACAACTCATGGGGCCCCCGGGAAATAGGGGATCATGGGGCCCCTTTGTCCTTGCCCAAACTCAAAATAGCCTTTGAAAAAGGTACCAGAGGCATCTCATGGGGCCCCCTACTGACCCTGGGCCCTCGGGCACTGCCCGAGTTTCCAAATGGTCAGTCCACCCCTGCCCCGAGCTACACTCGGGAATACCGCCAGGGGGGTTAAGGCAGGGTTCCATAGAACACTAGGGTTCCTCCATAGGTTGCTGGTGGTTCCTTGAGCAGTAAGTTCTGCCTCTCAAGTAAGTTCCTGCTGACACCACTGATCTGAGAAACAGAACTTGCTCAAGGAACTCCTAGCAACCTAGGGTGACCACAAGTGTACTCTAGGGGGTGACCACAAGTGTACTCTAGGGTGACCACAAGTGTACTCTAGGGTGACCACAAGGGTGTATGGAGCATTCTTCCTTTGACCATAACACTAATGTATCACAAGTCATAGATATAGTACCTTTTAGCAGGGGTTCCTGAGGCAGGAAAGTTATTTCAAGGGTTCCCAGGTGTTTAAAAGGTTGAGAAAGGCTGCTCTAAGTACCTTCTGCGAACTCAGATGATGGACAGCTTCAGCAGCCAAAAAAAGCAGGCCAAGCATCACCAGAAAGAGATGTTGGTATTGCAAGTAGAACCCTCCCACACTGCCAAGGAGAAGGAAAAATTGTGCCTCGCAGATCGCAGTTTGTATTTGTGTACACTATATGGCCACAGTGGAAAAGTGATATAGAAAAATGTTAAGGCCCACAAAAGTCCGAACTCTGCGATGTAAAATAATCTTGACAGCTGAACTTCAACCAGATGATAGTGCTATCACCACACGATAAAGCGAGACACCCCTCTCCACGGCATGGACTCACCAGACTCCTATGCCTCCCATCTTCATGATCGGCATAAAGCGCTTGTGTCTTCCATTATAGTGCTTGTGGTGCTCCAAATCAGGGGCGGACTGACCATTTGGAAACTCGGGCACTGCCCGAGGGCCCGGGGTCAGTAGGGGGCCCTATGAGATGCTCCTGGTACCTTTTTCATAGGTTTTTTTGAGTTTGGGCAAGGACACAGGGGCCCACATGATCCCCTATTGCCCGGGGGCCCCATGAGTTGTCAGTCCACTCCTGCTCCAAATGCATCATTCCTCCATCATCTCCTTTACACAGTCGGCTCATCCACATAAATACATAAAAGAGGAAAAGATCGCACCTTTTTATTAAAAAAAAATTTAAAATGCCGCTCAGAAAACAAGAGCAATAAGTTCCGCTCATAAAAAAAAGTTGCTGCCAGACAAACAGTGGAGGGTCCGCATCAGAACGTCCCCTACAGCACACCCACTTTTGGTTCATCACTTCTGCTTCCAGCTCCAACGGCACATCCGACATGGTCATGCCCCGGCGCGTTTTGTCCTCCTGACTGACACTTTTTGTTTCTCTTGTTCAAACTTTTTTTGGGGGTTTAAAGTTACATGGCATACAAACAATATGCAAAGTACGTTCACAGTAGAAAATAAGGCATGAGGCCTAGTGGCCAACGTTGAAGTTCCAACTTTTGTAAACATTGGAGAAACCGCAATGAGCGGGAGAGGGTAATACAAAATAAAGGGAGCAGGGTATTGTTAAATGGAAACAAATGGGTGGTGCTCCTAGGACATATGGATGGGTTCCTTGGAAGGTGAAGAAAAAACAATTGGGTTAGTGTGAACGGTCAAAGTAAGAGAAAAAGAGCAAGAAAAGAGGAAAAAAAAGGGGGGGGGGGAGGAGGACAGAGCGTGGGACTACCAGAATAGAGAGGGGGATTTGGGACCAGACCGAGGCTCAGGACTACCATCAAATGGGGGAGATTATTAAGGGAGGAGCAATGATCTGTCAAAGCTCGGGGGGAGGAAGTGTTCCACCCAGGGGGACCACACCACTTTTTGTTTTCTATATCACTTTTTCACTGTGTTTTTAGATTTGTTTTGTTTTGACAACGCTACTTTGAGATTTGTTTTGAATGACAACGCTACTTTTAGATTTGTTTTGAATGACAACGCTACTTTTAGATTTGTTTTGAATGACAACGCTACTTTTAGATTTGTTTTGAATGACAACGCTACTTTGAGATTTGTTTTGCATGACAACGCTACTTTTAGATTTGTTTTGAATGACAACGCTACTTTTAGATTTGTTTTGAATGACAACGCTACTTTCGAGATTTGTTTTGAATGACAACGCTACTTTGAGATTTGTTTTGGATCACAACGCTACTTTGAGATTTGTTTTGCATGACAACGCTACTACGAGATTTGTTTTGAATGACAACGCTACTTTGAGATTTGTTTTGAATGACAACGCTACTTCGAGATTTGTTTTGAATGACAACGCTACTTTGAGATTTGTTTTGAATGACAACGCTACTTTGAGATTTGTTTTGAATGACAACGCTACTTTTAGATTTGTTTTGGATCACAACGCTACTTTGAGATTTGTTTTGAATGACAACGCTACTTTGAGATTTGTTTTGGATCACAACGCTACTTTGAGATTTGTTTTGGATCACAACGCTACTTTGAGATTTGTTTTGAATGACAACGCTACTTTTAGATTTGTTTTGAATGACAACGCTACTTTTAGATTTGTTTTGAATGACAACGCTACTTTGAGATTTGTTTTGAATGACAACGCTACTTTTAGATTTGTTTTGAATGACAACGCTACTTTTAGATTTGTTTTGAATGACAACGCTACTTTGAGATTTGTTTTGAATGACAACGCTACTTTGAGATTTCTTTTGAATGACAACGCTACTTTGAGATTTGTTTTGAATGACAACGCTACTTTGAGATTTGTTTTGAATGACAACGCGAGATTTGTTTTGCATGACAACGCTTTGAGATTTGTTTTGCATGACAACGCTACTTTTAGAGATTTGTTTTGAATGACAACGCTACTTTTAGATTTGTTTTGAATGACAACGCTACTTTGAGATTTGTTTTGAATGACAACGCTACTTTGAGATTTGTTTTGAATGACAACGCTACTTCGAGATTTGATTTTTTGAATGACAACGCTACTTCGAGATTTGTTTTGGATCACAACGCTACTTTTAGATTTGTTTTGAATGACAACGCTACTTTGAGATTTCTTTTGCATGACAACGCTACTTTTAGATTTGTTTTGAATGACAACGCTACTTTGAGATTTGTTTTGCATGACAACGCTACTTTTAGATTTGTTTTGAATGACAACGCTACTTTTAGATTTGTTTTGGATCACAACGCTACTTTTAGATTTGTTTTGAATGACAACGCTACTTTGAGATTTGTTTTGAATGACAACGCTACTTTGAGATTTGTTTTGAATGACAACGCTACTTTGAGATTTGTTTTGAATGACAACGCTACTTTGAGATTTCTTTTGCATGACAACGCTACTTTGAGATTTGTTTTGAATGACGCTACTTTTAGATTTGTTTTGCATGACAACGCTACTTTGAGATTTGTTTTGAATGACAACGCTACTTTTAGATTTGTTTTGAATGACAACGCTACTTTGAGATTTGTTTTGAATGACAACGCTACTTTTAGATTTGTTTTGGATCACAACGCTACTTTGAGATTTGTTTTGCATGACAACGCTACTTTTAGATTTGTTTTGAATGACAACGCTACTTTGAGATTTGTTTTGAATGACAACGCTACTTGAGATTTGTTTTTGACAACGCTACTTTTGTTTTGAATGACAACGCTACTTTGAGATTTGTTTTGAATGACAACGCTACTTTGAGATTTGTTTTTTTGAATGACAACGCTACTTTGAGATTTGTTTTGAATGACAACGCTACTTTTAGATTTGTTTTGAATGACAACGCTACTTTGAGATTTGTTTTGCATGACAACGCTACTTTTAGATTTGTTTTGAATGACAACGCTACTTTGAGATTTGTTTTGAATGACAACGCTACTTTGAGATTTGTTTTGAATGACAACGCTACTTTTAGACTTTTTTGTTTTGCATGACAACGCTACTTTGAGATTTGTTTTGAATGACAACGCTACTTTTAGATTTGTTTTGGATCACAACGCTACTTTGAGATTTGTTTTGAATGACAACGCTACTTTGAGATTTGTTTTGAATGACAACGCTACTTTGAGATTTGTTTTGAATGACAACGCTACTTTGAGATTTGTTTTGCATGACAACGCTACTTTGAGATTTGTTTTGAATGACAACGCTACTTTGAGATTTCTTTTGAATGACAACGCTACTTTGAGATTTCTTTTGAATGACAACGCTACTTTGAGATTTCTTTTGAATGACAACGCTACTTTGAGATTTGTTTTGAATGACAACGCTACTTTGAGATTTGTTTTGAATGACAACGCTACTTTGAGATTTGTTTTGAATGACAACGCTACTTTGAGATTTTGTTTTGGATCACAACGCTACTTTGAGATTTGTTTTGAATGACAACGCTACTTTGAGATTTGTTTTGAATGACAACGCTACTTTTGAGATTTGTTTTGAATGACAACGCTACTTTGAGATTTGTTTTGCATCACAACGCTACTTTGAGATTTGTTTTGAATGACAACGCTACTTTGAGATTTGAGTTGTAGTGCCTTGCACTCTTATTCAAAATGTGTTTATATTTTTTATTTTCTAATGAAGCAGCAGTCAGTTTAGAATTTTCAGTTAATTTTTTTTTCACTTTTTTGGATGGGTTTTTTCAGGTATGCATTTATTAACAATCATTTGACAAGTAAGACAATTAGTTTATTTGATGTTTAGTAGATATTTAATATAGTCCTAAGCGCGGCGAATATTGGGATTATTTTGGTTCTGTGCATTATTTATCCTGTTTCAAAATGCAATGCAATGTTATCTCAGACGAAGTCGTGTGACGAAACGCGTAAAGTCGTGATCAACAGTGACGTCACCACGTATACCGTGACCACGTGGCTGGACCATGTGACCGCAACCACGAGATCTGTTGTTGAGAGCTGGTGGTGAGACGCTACTGTTTGAGCTGGCGATTGATCGCAACTATACCTATCATTGAATGCTGTTTTTTATCTGATATATTGTGAGTTTGATTCTTAAGGGGGGATTTTTGATACAATAATTATGCTACGGAGAGTGTTCTTTATTTATCCACATATGGAATTGGATTATACCTACCCTGTTTGAGTCTAAGTTGGATCGACCATCAGATGAAGGAATATTAACCCCTTCACGCCGGCGCCTCCCGACCCTTTAAGAGTTTCAGAAGCCGGGAGGCGGGGAGGGGTTTAGGGTCATGTGACCGCTGTGACGGCACGTCACGGCGGTCACATGATCGGGAAAGGTCCCGATCGAAAGAGGAGCTCTGGACCTTTACGTGAGTACCGGACATGTGTGCTGGGAGCACGCAGGGCACGCGCTCTCGGCACATATGTCCTTTTTTAATAGAACGCAAATGTGCGGCCGCTCGGCGTCTAGGCGCAGACGCTGGGAGGCCGCACATTTGCGTTCGGCTGGCGTGAAGAGGTTAATATCTGAATTAATCGGGTTTTTGATGAATCTTCCACATCTACTGATATTTAACTGATATGCTGATTAAACAGAAGCATCTGATGAGTTAGCACTTTGATGGGGTGTTGAGCACAATGGAAATCACGATTGTGGCGAACATATTTTGAAGAAAATTTGTATTTGGACTACACTTTATTATGAACTTATTATCTTTTATTATGGATTGATTTTTTTGCACTTTTTTGGTGGCAGTTTTTATTTTTATTTTATATATTTTTTTATTTTTGTTTTTGAGTATTTATATTTATTTATGCTTGTTTACACATTGTCTAAGGCAGGGGTCTGCAACCTTTAAGACATAAAGAGCCACTTGGACCCGTTTCCGAAGGGAAAAAAAAGACTGGGAGCCGCAAAACCATTGCAACATTTATAACAAATCCGACACTGCATATATTGCAAAAAGCACTCTGGTCATGAAGGGGGTTTAAGGGCCCAGTAAGCAAAGGGTTAATCAGGGCCACAGTGTATCTTCATAATCACAATCATAGCCTTAGGTCAGTGGTGGGCAACCTTTTTTTTCAACTGAGCCAAATCTCGCCAAAACCACGATTGAAATTTATTTTGACAGCCACATTTTTAAAACTGAAAATACATCCCCCATATA